AAAAAAAAAAAAAAAAAAAAAAATATTCGATTTAGAGATATATTCGAGAAATCAATTTCTGCTCGAATAACGATGAATTGGTGGACTGATAGTGGCGCCAGGTTATTATGATAAACGAGACTCGAAAACGAGGTTTAAGCGGACTGATAATTACTATTCCATACCACGCACGATTCAATTTTGGCCACTCGAAATTCACCGCGTGTTACTAGCCATCTGTTCATCCGGAAGACAACCAATTACAGTGCCATTGACCATGTAACCCAGTCTGACAAATTAAGTTGAAAAAAATCTAACGAAATTCTATTCTGTACGAAATGAACATATCTCTGGGTGACAAGAATTTTTATGCAATATAAATGTTTTTTTTTTTCGCGAACCTCTGCATCGAATTAAAGTCACTCTGATAGCAGCAAAGTTTGAAATTTTGTGAATCAATTTTCGATAAATTGATATTTTGATTTTGATTTAAAGAATTGATTTCAGATTTTTATATATATTCATTTTTTTCTTCATATTAGAAAAATAATAAATATCTATTGACAACATTTGATCATCGAATTATAATTAATTACAATTTTTTATTAAAATTGAAAAATAAGAAGGAATGTTCATGTAACAATAATATTCACGAATTATTTTATAAAATTGACGATAATATATGACGTAAAAATATTTTTTAATCTTTATTATTATTATTATTTTAAATCATTTACATAATAACGTTGTTCATTTGCATATTTGATTATTAAAATTAATAGTAATTCAATTTGTATAAATTGAATAGAACGGATGCAAATAGAACGGAATGTTGAAATACGTAACGAAAATAAAAGATCGATATAAATTCATGATATTTTTCAACAATTTATAATATTTTATTTCCAATGAAACAAAATATTTTGATTTTAGGAAAATATTACCGAAAATATACACCGAAAATTTTAAAAATTAGAAATTAAAAAAAAAAATTAAAAACAAATATTCTTTATTATTCAAATTTTACGATATGCAAAGTTCAATTACCAATTTACAGTTCATTACATTGTAAAGAGAATTTCCACGGAAATTCAACGACTGATGGATCCTCTTCCTACGCGATTACGCGAAAGGTCGAATGGATATTTTTGCCCTGTTGCGTACAGATAACGTTTCAATAGGAATCCAATAAAGATTGTATATTTTTTATTATAACCGAAAATCTTTTTTCTTTTTTATTAATAAATTGTTATTCGATTCGACGATAATAGTCCATAAGAATATCTTCATTTTATTAAATAGTTTTTTATGAATATTGGATTAATCAATTCTTTTATGACAGAAAAATATATGATAAAATGTAAGACTTTGTTAAATGAGAGTGTATTATATAGAAGTACAAAATTTGAATTTTAATCAGAAAAGAAAGAAAGAAAAGACTATTCTAAGAAAAGTGACTTGATAAAATTCAGATAATAATTAATGCAACTAAATGTTAAGATAAAACTTAGTGCTAGAGAAGTAAGAGAAGTGGATTTGATAAAGTCCAAGTAATGGTTAGTGTAATCCAGATAATATTTTTAGAGAAGTAAGAAAAGTGGACCTGATAAAGTCCATGTAATGATTGGTATAATTGGAAAAGAATCATATATGATAAAATAAATAATCATTTTTAAAATCTATATTTTACCTTTACAGATAACTGCAAATAATGATTGAGATTTAAAATTGAGTATATACATTTTTTATTTGAATTGTATTCAATTATAAATTCATTTCATGAAAGTTTTCACAAAATTTATAAATGAAAATTTTTTGTTCAATTTTCATTTTTCTGAGAGATTATTATGAAAGATTTAAGAATCTTTATTATTTAAATTTT